GAAATAAGTGTTGTGTACTTATACTTCTTTGTACCAACTTTAACTTGAATCCAGTCATGAATCCAAATAAGATCGATCTCTCTGTCTCTCTCTCTCTCTGGAGAGGGCGTTATTGTTCCCTAAGGCTTTGAACACATAATACTTTCTTTGCCAAGAAGGATGAAATATCTGAATGAATAACACAGGAATTGTGAGAAGCATCCTTCAGCTTTCAGATATTGTTTTAGAAAGTTAGTTGAATGTCCATGGAGATTCTCAGTCATCCAAGTCTTGGTTGTCTCAAAGGTGCTTTTTCAAGAGGCAACTGGGCTTTCTTATTTTTCTTTGAAGACATTTCGCTTCTCATCCAGGAAGCTTCTTCAGTTGTTGCCTGCTGTTCACCACAAGGCGTGCGGCCCCATTCTTAACAGGTCCATGGCCCAGGGATTGGGGATCTCTGTCTTAAAAGATGGTATTATATTGCCTTGCTTTTAGCATTTTCTAAATCAACATGTCATACCCAGGACAAGAACAAGCAGTAGCATTTTATTTCATGCCCATACACTTTACAAAATAATTTTCTCCTATTAATACTAATTAGAGGGAAAAAAATCTGACAAAATAATTGTAACAGGTTCCACAGACTATCACTGGTTGTTTGTTTCTGAGGGAAAGAAGTACGAAATCAGTTTAGTTACTTCTATTTAGCTTCTTTTGTTCCAAATTTCAGTAATTGTAAAATTAGATATATTACAAGAACGAGAAAAGCAGAAGGTTGTAGCATTTAATTACAGATAGTAACATTTCCTGTTTTCCGTTTATGGAAAGAAGAAAAGCTGCAGCTTTTACTGAGGGTTACATTGTTAGCCAGTCTATTTCTGTGATACATCTTGAATATCTATGTTAGTGAAGATATTCTTTTCAAAGTTGTTAATTAGAAATGATATAATAGCAAAAACCATGCAGGAAATTAGTTGTTTTATGATGTGAGTAGGTAATGCAGTGCTAGCGGACTGAAATATTGGATGAGTTGCTCTTTTGCTAGAAAATTGGTATAATTATTTCCTAAAAGCAGTATTCCCACTCTACAAATTAATGTGTGCTTTGAAAGAGATGTGAAATAAAGTACAAAGAAGATTCTGATTTTCTTTTTAGTAAAAAGAAGTTGGCAATTATTTTTGTGAAAATGGTAGTAGGTTAGCATCACTTTAAAATCTATAATTCAAAAATTCAAACTAATGTTTCTGCACGGCTGCTTACAGTATTGCCAGCATGGGAACATTTTGCTTTTCACTTATCTTCATGATTCCTCTACTTATGACATTACGAAGAGATTTCATTGAGATATATGATTTTTACATGCCTAGTGGCACCTTTTGGAAACTCTTTAAACTAAGTACAAATAGTCCTCGACTTACAACCATAATTGAGCTCAAAATTTCTGTTGTTAAGTGAGACATTTGTTAAGTAAGCTTTGCCGCATTTTACGACCTTTCTTGAATCGCTATCGTTGATAAGTTATTAACCCGGTTGTTAAGCGAATCTGGCTTCCCCATTGACTTTGCTTGTGAGAATGTTACAGAAGGTGATGACATGACCCCAGGACACTGCAACAGTCATAAATATGAACCAGTTGCCAAGCATCTAAATTTTGATCACATGATTATGCTGCAAAGATCCTAACTGTGAAAAATGGTCCTGTCACATTTTTCAGTGCCCTTGTAACTTTGAATGGTCACTAAATGAACTGTTGTAAGTCAAGGACTACCTATATGTTTTTCCTGCAGTCAGAGGTGTCTGTAGGGGGTCAAATAAGTTAGAATGGTTGAGTTAGCCTGAAATACTGTGTTCTAACCACGGCACCACAACCGTTCCAATACAATAAAGGAGAAAATATATTAAATTAAGACAAAATCGTACTAAAATCACCATAATATGGAGCCATACAATTGCAATGGGATAGATGTTATACTTCAATATCTATGGAAGCTAAACTTCTAATGGCTTCTGGTGTGGCTGTGGTGAGATCATCCCAGTGCCTTGAAATTTCCTGAGTAGGCATTATTGAACTATATTTTTATGAATTATGACCAATGTAAAAAGAGGCAAAGGTTGGGTTATGTGGCTGGGGCTGTCATGTTGAAATTTTTACCTCTCTCCTTGTGGACACCCCTGTCTATGGTCATTGCAGAAGGTACGAGAAGCAGCTGTACAAGCCTCAGACAAGATCAAGCTGCTTTAAGAGGTTTGAACCTTCTTTCTCTCTTGGAATTCAAAGCACAAACTGCCGTATTGTTAATTTCCTAAAATAAGTCAAACTGCATTTTTTCCTTGCCAGTTCATAACAGAGGGGAAAAAGGATTGTGTCCCACTGTGCAGGGGGAAAAAGGAATTGCATTGAAGGACTGGAGGAATGAAGCTTGAGTCTAGGCCAAGGAATTAACAAATGCTTCAAACAAGCTCTTCCTTAGTTCACAGGAAAATTAAGTGAAGAAAGGAGAAGCACATTCAGGCTCAAGCAAGATAACTGCTCTCTTTCTCAATCTTACTTCCTTATCTTCAAAATATACCTTAGATAGAAGCAAGACTCTTCAGACTTCTTGTGTATCTTAATACACGTACCTTTTATTCAATTGTAATAAATCGCTGTTAATATGCATTGATAGCTGATATTATGCATCCAAGGCAACAACTTTATGCAAATTTTACCGTTTTCAGCACCACGTTCTACTCAATTACATTGTTTTAAGTTCAGCATTGTATCTTCTAACAAGATGAATTGAAACCTCTAGTATTAAGGATTATTATTAGTACTGGTCACTTGTTTTTAACAGGAGTGAGCAGTAAGGTATCCAAGTTTGCAAATGGGAGTAAGTTCAAAAGCAAGAGCAACATTATAGCATGAATTGTTTTGCTTAATGTTCTTGCTATGCACTGCAATCATACTTTCTTTGAAGTTATTTAATTTTTCTCCTTGTCAGCTTTGTATTTGTGGTTAATAAATATGTTGAGTCCTTATTGGGCAGTTTTAAACTTTGTATATCCCATGCATAGCCTCTGTTTGATACTGGTAAATTATCTTTCTTGGAGTATCTACAAATGTGTTGTGCTATATTATGCTTTGGCTGAAAGTTTCAGATGATTACTGTTAGGGTTTCCTATCTTTTTCTCTCCTTCCACTAGCTAACTTTCCATGGCTACTGAATATGCCAGACTTTTACTTTATGTGTTTAAGTGAGATTCCCACTTTAAGAATGTTAATATGAATATAATCTCCAAAACTGAAATCCTTCAAATTTAAGCCCAAGGCCTAACTGAGCTTGCAAACATCCTCAGGCAACCTATATTTTAGTAGTGAAGCCTGAAAGCATAAATAAATGTTTAGGGTATAAACCTCACTTGACACAATACCACTTCTGAAAGAAATTTCCCAGAAATACATATAAAATAAACTATTTTATAATTCAAAGAAGCATTTGAATGCACATACTTAATATATATACAATGCAAATTTTGCTTAAATGTTTACCACTATCTAGAATTAGTATATTGCTGAGATGTACTCTACAATGGCCTATTCGCACAAACCACTCTGAATAATCACTACAGGGAGAGACAGAGAGAAAGAGAATCCAGTAAGAAGCATATAAATATTCCAATCCACAAAACGACTATAATGAAAACATAGTACTGATATCTAATAGCAGTGCTATTTTTGTACTTTTTCCCCCTGAAAATGATTGTTTTGTTATTTATTTTACTCTCAAGATTATGAATTGAAATGCAACACAGAACATTTTTTTTGCAGAGGCCAGCTTACAGAGATACAAAACTTTTATAATGCTCTTGATATTTGACTATTAGTGCTAGCCCTGAAATATATGCCTGAAATGGCTTAATTCGTTGCCAAGCCCTCTCTGGAATTCTTTGTAGATGAAGATGAGTTATGTGCTCTTTTTCTTAACATTGGAAGGGTAGAGTTTGAGGACACTTGGGACCTCCCCTATGGAAAAACTTTTTAACATTTTGTTTCATTTTATTAATACACACACATACATGTTGCAATACCTTGTAAACTGGTTATCTTAGGAAATTCTTCTACAATTGCTAATACACTTGGCATGACAGATGGCTTTAAGAACCCTCTTCTATAGTGGTTCCCACATCTGTGAAATGTCGTTTTGGTAATCCATCTGGCCACTACACATATTGTATACGCTAAACTTTCTTTTTGTAGTATTTTGTCTTCAATACGTTTAATTTTAACTGCTGACTTTTTGATATTTATCAATTTTAATACTTATATCAGTTTTCTTATTTATAAACTTTGACAATATTCGCTACTTAGATCATACATGCACTTCTATGTTAATATCTTTAAGTTCTGAGAGCCATCTTTTATGTGGGTGTCTACTATAAACCTACGGTGGTCAATCTATGGCTCTTATATCGCAGGATACTTTCTTCCTTAGTTCATGAAAACAAGACCGAAGGAATATTTTTTCCTTTTGTTTCCTCTACACTCTCTTGATACTGGTTTAAGTTACAAGACTATTTCAACTCATCCCCAGTAGGCTGAGAAAGGATGACCGGTGTGATCTGCATGACTAGGAATTTTGAAAAAGGAGATCACTAATACTAATTCGATCGCTACACTCATCCTTTCACTCCTACTGCCACATGATCCTCCTTAACACCCTAAAATTAGAGAAGATCGTCAGCGTGTGATTGTCCCGTGCCATTTCCCCATTCTTAAAGCAGTAGCTAGCAGGAAGGGGAGCAATCTACAGATCTTCTGCGGTCCTACCCGCAAAACTTTTTTTTTTTAAACAGCATCCGGTTTCTTCACCCCTTTAAACCACCCGAGTCCATTAGAAAACCGAGAGCGAGGAACATTTCTCCCTACTTTCGCGTGTTCTGCGCATGGGCACTCCCGGCACCCAGCCCAGCCTAGCCTTCCCGGAACCGATTCCAAAAGCTACTACGAAAGCGTGATTCTCACGCCCGGCCAAGTGTGAGCATGCGCACACCTCTCCTAGCTTGAAAAGCTAATAAGGGGTTGGGGCAATTGCTCCTAGCTCCTCCTTTGTCGAGAGCGTGTCGTTTTGTGGCTGTTGGAGCCGGCTGTGAGTAGGAAGGGATGCCCTTTGGCAACCGCAGAGGTGGATGAAGCGGCTGAGTGCTTGGGGAGGAGCGGGAGTAGAACTACCGGAGTCAGGAGCGGTGCCAAGGCTGCTGCTGCTGCTGCTGGGAGAAATCTTGGCTGGGACTGGGAGATGTCAAAGGAGGGGTTCGGGTACCGGGTGGGGCATTTGGCTTACTCCTGGAGTGGGGAGTGGCCATAGTTTCTCCAGTAATGCAGAGGGTTGGTTGAGCAAGTTTGGGGTGTGGTGGGGGAAGAAGGAAAGAGAAAATGGGGTGCCACGTGTTGCAAAATTTGGCGTTCGTTTGCAAGCTTTCCTCCAGACTCCTGTGTTCCCAGGAAGTCAGGTTCTTGTGGGTCCATTGTGATGTGTGTGTGTGTGTGCGAGCGAGAGAGATGAAAGAAAGGAGATGTTGTGAGAACCTAGTTGCAATATTATTGCCCAACTACCTATTAAGCATGGGGTTTGTAAGGGCATTATTTAAAGGGCCTGGGCCTGTATTCGTTTTTTTATATTCAGACACTTTTTTAAAAAAAATCTGGGATAGGTATTTTTACAAAAAGAAGTTTGCCTCATGGTGTCTGAACTGGGGATATATTTGCAAGTTATTGGGCCAAGGCCTTTTTACAAATTATTTTACAGCAGTATATGGAGATTGGTTGTGTTAATCCATTGCAATAAAAAAAACATGGCATCTTCAAAAACACATTATACTATAAATATCTGTACTTGGATAGTTTTCTCAATTCAAATTTCACTCCTGGTGGTGAAATGACCACATATGTGAACATCATTTGGCCAAAATCTGAAAGTGGTTTGTTATTGCTTTCTCTTTTTTTAAAACATTTCCCAATCTAGTCTACAAAGTGGATTTTCTGGTGGTCACCCATCAGTTTAACTAACCTGGTTTGAGCATGCTTATTTTTTTCTGAGCTGAGGTCAGCCACAATCTGCTAGGTGGTTGGCTGGACATTTTAGATTAGGGATGTCAAAACTCATGTTGTCATGGTGTTGTCAGGTAACGAATCACAACTCCCCCCGCTTTGTTAAACTAGCCATGGGCATGGCCAGTGCATGATGCATCTGTGAGTTTGACACCCCTGCTTTATATGGATAAATATTTAAATGGGAATTCTGGGTACCTCACAGTTCACCTGTGTTACACTGATGCCTCTAGTTTCCAGTTGCTTTCTGGGTACATTTCAAGATACTGGTTATCACTATTAAAGCTACTACCTGGCAAGGACCAGTTTCTTTGCAGGACTGCCTCTCTCTGAGGGAACCTATCTACCCCACCAGGTTAGATAGGTGGATGCTCCAGGCCCCTTCCTTTGAATGCTGTCACGTGGTGGCACCTTGGAGGCATGCCTTCTTTGTAGATGGCTCTGACTTTTTGGAATAGGCTCCCATTGAGATCTGCACCTTCTATCCTTAATCTTGTTAGCCTTCCTGAAGGCTGTGAAGACTTTGGTGTTCCCCAAAGCTCTTAGCTAGGATGGGGATGAACCAATGGAGTATGGAATATGGGTTTTCATGGCGCCATGGAAGGAAGGATACAAAGCATGTTTATGTTTTTTAATGATTTTGCTGTGAGCAACCTATGTCATATGTCTCATAAATAAATACATTTTAATTCTATATTACAGATCTCAAGGGGCCATCCTTGAGCAAAATATTTCACTGGAATAATATTTCAATGGAAGGAAGCTGAATTCAATTTATTATGAAAGTTAACATGTAGAGCGATAAGAAACCTGCTTCTCTACTATTTTTACCATGTTACAGATACTTATTAAATCCAATTTATCATGTTTTACATTTTCATAGAATAAGCAAACTCTTCTACAAAGATGAAGTACTCTTTGAGCAATATACTTACTTTGATGGTTATAGGAAATCGAATAGTAAAAGGAAAGATCAGAGGGATGAAAAAGATGCTCACAATACAAAATATCTATATTACATCAAATGACAGTTTTGTGAATGGCCATTTTTATTGGCAATTATTATTGGATCTTTTTAATTTTATTTCCCTCTGCTCTTTCCATTTATTGTTCATTTTCCCACAACCATCAACATAAATAAACTCAGAGTATTTGATATCTGTAGAAGCTTACTCTATGAAAATGTAAAATATGTTAAATTGGATTTAACAGGTATCTGTAACATGGTAAAAATAGTAGAGAAGGAGTTTGATAATAAATTAGCTTCTTGCAAAACACATTTGCATATATGCATGCATTTTTTGCTGTAAGCCTATTAGTTCTGTAAAGAGAATACTAAAATGAATTGTTTGTTTCTTTTAATTTTAATTTAAAGGAACCATGTTAGAGTATTCATTATAGAGAGGTCCTTGTTTTGGAGAGGCTTTTTTATTAGCTATTAAAAGATGGTATCTAAATAATATTAAAGGGATAAGGAGAATGAAGAAACTATAGATGAATGAACAAGGGATTTAAAAATTTCATGGAGGTTAGGGCATCATTCATTAAAATAACCACATATATTGCTTTAAAAGAATAAAAGCTAATGAATATCAAGAGCTGATATAACACAGTATAAATCATCTGGTAAATTTGTTGGCTATGACTTCCAGTAATGAAATAAAAGTTGGCTATATCTTCCAGTAATGGAATAAAAGTATCTTCAATTTTTCTCAATGGTATCTTACAAATCTTGTGGATTCCATCCAAGGAGATAACATTCTGAGAATTTCAGCTATATTAAGAGTTTTCTGAAGGTTGGGGCTAATTCTGATATTTTCATTGTTTCCAGATGTCAACTTTGACGAGACCCAATAATAGTTCGGACCTGAAGAGTTTCCCTACTCCCATTAAGGTATAATGCAAAGAACATCCAGCTGTTTGTGTTAGAACTATTTAGGTTCAGTTTGATGTTTTGATGTTTTCTTGTTCCATGTTATTTCTTTTAAAAAGTTATAGTTAAGCTTGGGGAGTGGGGAATCTGGTAAATTTTTGCTGTTGATTCTTTCTGTTCTCAGAGATGAGTTCTCCAGAGACTAGTACATTTGATTGAAGGTTTATGACACATAGAAATCCTCACCAAAACTGTTTCATTTTCTTTGGAGAGTGAGGAGGGGACACACACACACATGCACACACACACACACACACACAGAAGACTTAAGTTTTATGACTAAGAAGAGGTTCCCCTTCCTCCCAAGGACATTGTTTTGTATTCCTGGAATACCACAACACTGAATATTCCTTAAGTCTGGCCAACAAAATGTTGCACTTAATTTAAACATCAAGGGAGGAGGAGGATTTGTCATATCATATTATAATTTGTATATATTGTGAATAAAAGGCAGTCAATAAATACTGTAAATATAGACTTCAGCATGCTAATATTCTTAAATTATTCCTAATAGTCTTGTCTAGATTTGCAATTGTTTTAGCCAGTAAAAGTATAACCTTCCAGGTTAACCATGCTTTGGAAAACTATTTTCAAATCTTTACTGTTTTTCTTTGAGCAGTGCACCCTCAGTCAAGCTTTGTATGTCTCATTTATCAGACTATTCGTTATCCTTTCCAGCTGCTTCATGTCTGGTTTTTAAATGTGACCAGAACTGAACGTACTCTTCCAGCAGAGATTTTTCCACTGTAAAGTGAGAGAAACAATTTCTGTGTCATGCTTGCCTAATACCTAACCACTATAGTGTACCTTAGCATCAGATGTGTTTGGACATCATGAAGACTGTAAACCTCTGGTGATTCAATATGATTAAATAGCTGAAGTTTTATAGACTTATGCTGTCTTTTAGATAACATTGCATCTTACTTATTCTTTCAATACATTTTATAACTGCAAAAATCCTCAAGCAGGTTTAATGAATTCCATCTCATGAGACAAATATTAAGGTAGAGCAGGGGTGGGCAAACTATGGCCCGGGGGCCACATCCGGCCCGTTGGTCTTTTTAATCTGGCCCGTTGAAGATTGGTACAGAATTAAGGTTTGATGTGAATGATTGAATGATTGCATTCATTTGATTTTGACTTGTAATGACAGGCATTTCGACACCAGCTGGCGGCCTGTGTGTCAAATTTTAAAAGTCAAATGAGGCCCCCGAGCCAAAAAGTTTGCCCACCCCTGAGGTAGAGTAACACAGATAATGCCTTGGTGGTAGATGGCAGAGGCCTAACTTTTTCTGTTCAACAGTTGCTTCTGGAATTAATTTTGTGTGCTCTTTGGAGTAGGTACAGGTATCTCTAGGGCTTGTAATACCACATGTATGATGGGAATCCTTGGAGTTGTAATCTAAATCTGGAGGATACTGGATTGGAAAAAGCTTGTATATCTTCAATTTGTTTTGTTTTTCTGACCAGTTGGCTGGGATGTTTTAACAGGTGAGCTTGAAAAACAAGTTTAAGGCAGAAATCCTTATACATATTTGAAACAAACCCTGTTGAATTAAATGGGACTTATTTCTCAGAAATGAGTTTTCTCACCCCAGTCTCTAAAGTGCTATTGAATTCCAGTGTTTAGAAAATTTATAATTCTTGATTCAGTTTTCCAATAAAATGTATACAAGTGGGACTTACAAAGTGAGCCCAAATAAATAGTTTTTTCATGTTGGAATTTTTATAAAACTTAATAAACACAATATTTGATTATTGTAATAGAACAACATGGCCAAGTTCTAAAATGATTGGAAAATGGGTAAAGATAAAACATGGCAATGGGCTTAAAACCAAAACCTTAAAAAAAAGAAACAGAAGGTTTTATTTTGGCTGTTTAAGAATAAACTGTTCAAACTAAGGGGGGACGCGGTGGCTCAGTGGCTAAGATGCTGAACTTGGTTGATCAGAAATGTCAGCATTTCGTCAGTTTGAATCCCTAGCACCGCGTAAGAGTGAGCTCCCATTACTTATCCCAGCTTCTGCCAACCTAGCAATTCTAAAGCATGTAAAAATGCAAGTAGAAAAATAGGGAATACCTTGGTGGGAAGGTAACAGAGTTCCGTGAGCCTTCAGCATTTAGTCAAGCCAGCCACATGACCATGGAGATGTCTTTGGACAGCACTAACTCTTCAGCTTTGTAACAGAGATGAGCACCACCCCCTAGAGCCAGAAACGACTAGCACGTATGTGCGAGGGGAACCTTCACCTTATTCAAACTAATGCAATCAAAGCCAGAATTGAAAAATCATTAAATGATTCAAAGTACATATTGTGCAAAGAGGCAGAAGAAGGTATAGATTATATATTCAGCTCATGCAAGAAGTTTTCACAAACTGATTATGAACATCATAACCCAGTTGCCAATATGATTCTCTGGAACATCTCTAAAATTATGTGCCGTTAATGAATAATTGGTGGGAATATATATGTCTATATATGGAGATTCTCAGTCATCCAAATCATTGTTGTCCCAGAGGTGCTTTTTCAAGAGGCAACTGGATCTTTTTTGTTTGGTTTTTCTTTGAAGATGTTTTGCTTCTTATCCAAAAGCTTCTTCAGCTCTGGTTCAGTTCTCATTCTTCAGAGTTGAACAAGCTTCTTAGATGAGAAGTAAAATGTCTTCAAAGGGAAAAAAAAGTCCAGTAGCCTTTCGAAAAAGCACAATTGGGATGTGGGAATATATAGTTAAAAAATAGTCAAAAACAAGTAAGTTAAAATATTGTGGGGTTTTCAAATTAAAAAAGATGATAACATCTTGGCTCACATCAGACTTAACTGTGGTTAAAAAGAAGAAACTATGGATAATTGATGAGGCAATACGCCTGGAATGGTAGAATAGAAGATTAAGAATTGAAGATCACAAAGTATCACCATCTAAAAATCAGGATTGAAAGATTGTGGCCTAAACTGGCTGTGATTGTCCCAGTGGTTGTCAGCACACTGGGTATCATACCAAAATATATTGGACAGCATTTAGAAAATTTGTGCATTGACAAAATTTCCACCTGCCTATTACAAAAGGTCACATTGCTTGGATGTGCACGTCATCCTAGGTTCTTGGGAAGAATTTGTTGTGTATGAAGGCCAACACCAGTTAACAAACTGGCAGTTATGGTTTCACATTGTAATATATTTGATAATATTTCAGTCAGGCAGATGTTTAGACTGTATTTGGCTTTTCTAACTAGGTCATTGTGAAGGACTTGATAGGTGGAAATAAATGCCAAATGCAATCAACATTTGGCTGATTGTACAGCCAACTATAAATAAACCACATAGATAGATTTTCTCCATGACATTCTGTTCCCAACTTGGTCTTTACCTCTTCCAACAATGTGCCCATTGATGCTGTAATTTAGTCCATTCACGTTATTGCTGACTCTTTCTTCTACCATTCTCACCATTGTAGACCTTTCCAGAGAGTTAGACCTCAATTTACAGCAGTTTGTTTAGTGACTGCTCAAAGTTATAATAGTACTGAAAAATGTGACTTATGACTGTTTTTCATAGTTATGACCTTTGCAGCACCCCCAACATCATGTGTGATCAAAATTCAGATGCTTGACAACTGGTTCATATTTATGACTGCTTCTGTGTCCCAAGGTCATGTGATCATCTGATCACCTTTTGCAACCTTTACACAAGCAAAGTCAATGGGAAAACTAGATTCTTTTTTTATTTTTTTAAAAAAATAGATTTTATTAAATTTACAATTTAAAAACACATCGACAATACATTTACAAAGTAGAAAGAAAGACGGGTAGGGGGAAAGAAGGAAAACACCCGGCCTAGCACACCGGATAAAGGCCGGTTGGGGGGAAGAGAAAAGATATAGAGGGAGAGAAGGGAAGGGAAGGGGAGGGAGAATAGGGTAGAAATACAATTAAAAACGAATGATATCTTTTTGTGACAGTCTGTAAGGATCATTTCTCTTCATCATATCCAATCTACTTCTCTTTTCCATTATGTTTAGGTTACTTTTTATCATTTACATAATTTGTCTCTATGTAAGCCAATTATACCATGAGTCCCAGTTGTCGTAAAATGTTGAGGACTCTTTGTTTTTTAATGCTATCGTTAATTTATCCATTTCAGCACACTCACAAATTTTCTGAATAACCGTTTGCTCTGAAGGTGTATGAGGTAATTTCCAACATTGAGCAAAGGCTAATCTAGCTGCGGTTAGAATATGGATTATTACATATTTTGTCTTTTTGGATAAATATCTATCAGAGATCCCTAACAGGAAGAACTCTGGTTTATAGTCTATTTGTTCTTTAGTTATCTCCTCCAACCATTTTCTGATTTTTTGCCAAAATTTTTGGGTAGTTTTACAAGACCACCACGTGTGGAAAAATGTTCCTTCAGTGCTTTTGCATTTCCAACACCTTGAGCTCATGTTAGGGTTCATCTTCGCCAACCTCGAAGGGGGTAAGTGCCATCTATATAACATTTTATACATATTTTCTTTGTACGCTGCGGATTTCGTAATCTTGATGTTTCTATTCCAGATCTTTTCCCATTCTGTTAATGTAATGCTTCTTCCAATATTCCTACTCCACGTTATCATGTTCCCTTTCACTATCTCTTGCTCTAATTCTACCTCCAATAAATATTTATAAAATTTGGAGATATTCTTTTTATTTGATCCTAATAAGATTTTATCTAAATATTGTAATTTGCTATAGATTCCAAACTCTTTGATATCTTGTTTGTATCTGCTATGGATTTGTATATATAACCACTGGTCAATTTTAAATCCCTGTTTCTGTAAGTCCTGTCGAGTTCTTAATTTTCCTAAAGGGTCTAATAAATCTTTATATTTAGTCATTTTTGTTATATCCAAATTGTTGGGATGAACCATTGCCTCCATTGTTGAAAGCCAAATCGGAATTTTTGAATAATGTTTTTTGCAT